TGCAACGAATGCCCAAAATGACCCCAAAAATATGAAGTTAAGCCAAAATTTTTGATGTGTCCTTCGATGACACATCTAGACCCACTATTTCTTAACGTAGAATGAAAATCGGAAATTTACCCTTGGCGGGGGTTCCCTTGTGAGCTGAACTTCTACCAAATACCTCCAAAAGCAGTACGCCAACTGGAGCGACGGCAGGCCCCCAAAACCAAAAGCCCGCGTTATAATACGGGACCGATCAACTCCGGGACACAAGATGTGGGCCGGCCCGTCAGTCCCATTTCAGCGTGCGTCAGTTCCCCAGTGCATTTATATTCCATCCACCGCACGCTGCTGCCGTCGCGGGGCCTCTGCGCCGCCCGGCGAACCGCAAGCGACTAACAAATTTGAAAGAAATCCCCGGTTACTATCTTTTTATTTTAACGTTTTTGCTGAGAAACAAAGGAAGGTGCCGAAAAGAACATGGTGCTCGATTATATTGCCATACGTTTAGTACCTGCGAGTCAACCCATGCAGCCGGTGTATTGTAAATAAAATACCACCATCACCCCCCTTTAGTAGGCCAGGTCCTAGTTCACTGTTTCCGGTGTCCTGTGGTGTGCGGGCGGGGGTGGCGGGGGTGCTGCGACGCGGTGTCTCCTTATACGTTGGCGTGGACACTGTGTCGTACCGCAAGGTACCGCACCGCCGCACCCGCTGGCTCGCAGCGCACGCAGCCAGCACAAGCGCAACCGGCGCGGCCCAGGCGCAGCCCGGGCGCAGCCTCCTCCAACCGCACCGTGACCCATTTCGCGCTCCCGATTCAATTGGCGGGAGGAATCCACGGCCCCCCGCTCTGTGTGAGGGCTCTGGAGGTTAGCAGGCAGACACAAGCGGGTAACGCGTGTCACGTTCATGTTTTTGGTTCAAACGACACAAATAGCAATCTTAACGTAACACTATAAAATGTTTTTTTCGAAATCCTCCACTGTAAAGTGCAACCATGGTTGGTGTCTTTTGACGCCAAAATTTGGCGTCCTTCGGGCATTTGGCGTCTTTGAACGCCAATATTTGGCGTTCGTAAAAGGACACCAATATTTTAGCGTTAGAAGATGCCAACCAGTTTACAGTGTCAAAACAATTAAATAGAAAACTTGCACCCCGACCATGTTGGAAAATTTGAAATTCAGTTTTGATGTAAAATGGCATGGAGGTTTAAAAAAAAATAAAAAAATCACGACTTCTTTTTACAGCGAGGGTGAGAAAATAACATAATTTCCTCGAAGCACAATTAATTCCTCCATGGACTGGACCAGACAGAAGTGCAGCCGAGGCTCGCGCGGCCCGAGGCGAGGTCATACGCTGCAGCGCTCTCACCGGAGGATGATTTGTGGCTCGGCGGTGTGGCGCGGGTGGCGTTGCGCCGCAGCCTAAACGTGTAATTGTAATCACCTTCGTTAGCGGAGAGTGAGAGTGCGTCGTGCAGAGCAGGGCCACCCCCGGGCCTAGCACGTCTGTGTCCGGGTTTATTGTCACTCAGCTGCATTAATGCAACCGAGTGTGCAACTGGTCAACTCGTAAGTGTGCAAGTGCGAGTAGAATACTTGCAAGTGTTCAAGTGGCAGTAGACTTGCAAGTGTTCAACTCAGTAGCAGTATACCTGCAAGTGTGTAGTTGTGCACTTGTAAGAGTGCAACTTTTCCGCTGTAAAAACACTTGCTTTAGACATTAGGTGGGGGTGGGGGAGTGAGCGAAATCGCATGACGTAATATGTCGACGACCCGCAGGACGACCCCTAAACGCCTCACTTCGACTGTTGGCATCACAGAGGGACGTTCAACGTTCCTCCTTCCGCTAGAGTCGTAAAAATGGCATCCGTCATAGCTAGCAGGTGATGGGACGAACGGTACCAACCGACGCGGCGCCATTTTTTCCAACGGATTCAACTCGGCGGTGGCGGCGGCGGCGGCGGCGGCGGCCGATGTCGCCGGCCGTCGTGGTTTGAGGATTGGCTGATTATACGGCTTACAAGGCGGCGGCGCCATAAGGCACGTTATGATTGGCTCGTCGACGGGTCACGTGGCCGCAACAAAATAAATAAAACTAATCCTCTTTACACGCAGCAAAGAGATGGGGACCGCAGGGATTCAAAGCTCCGAAGATTGACTATGCGCGAGTGAAAATCATTGTGATACGTAGTCACCGGCAAAATGAGCACCCTTACATCGGTCAATAAAAAATCAAAACCCAATAAGAGAAGAAGGGTGAAAAGGGTACGTTTTTAAATTGGTTTGGTTTAATAAACATATTTTACTCGATTTTACTTTTGTACTGGAAGGAATATTCAAGAAAAACTTTGTGAATACGGTTACGAAGATTCGTTCCCTGGCGGAATCCTTCCTGGTATATTTGATGCAAATTACGTAATACTGTGTGCGATGACGACCTTCGTCTTGTCACTGTAACCCAACTCCTCTTGCATCGCTAAAAGTCATTGGCTGGTCAATAATGTTCCAAGAATAAGTAAGGGCTTACCGGCCGA